GTTCGGAATCAGCGATTCTGTTTGATCTGGTCTACGAGTTTTCAGCTTTTTTAGCTCGATGACGCAAAACCCTTTACAATGTTTCTAAAGTTTCAAAGTCTTTCCTCAAGTTCCAAGGTCTTATAGTAACGAAGAGACAACGGTATATCGCTTTATAGTGAATTTAAATCAAAGCATGCTCTACAAAATGGTACTTGGAGCTTTTCAAAGGCTTTATTACAAGAGAGTTATTATGATCAAACAGTAGGCACATTTTTTGAGACACCTGTTACAGCGTTGCAATGGCGAACCCTCCAACTAATGCATCAGTGAAGTTTGGAGAAAAAAAACCTGAAAAACGATGAAAACCTAAACTCCACTCCAGATCCTTCAGATCTTTCGGATGCCGCCTACTTATACGAAATTTCCAGCGAATGCGGACATAGAAAACTTTAAAAAGCTCATTTCTGCCATTTTCATGCTCTGTAAAGCCTGGATATGGGTTCAGCACGGCGCGAAGGCTCCGAAAATAAAAGAAAACTGTAAAGCAAAGTTTTGTTACCGTCACGGATGTCACTGCCTTTGATACTCTTTGTAAATTTCATTTGAATTTCTTCATATACAGCAGTTCATCAACCATACTCAATTGGGGAACTTTAATGTAAAGTGTGAATGATTCATGGAATTTTTCATTCACTCTTTCGCAGCCTACATACAATTTGCCTCTTTCGAGTTGCCTAATAAGGTGAATACCTCCACTGAGGAAATAAAATCTTACGTTAGATGAACCAAGAATGTCTGTTTTGATGAATGTGTGCTGCACGCTTTCCTTGAGCAAATTTTAGGCTATCGTCGTTCATTTCTTATAAGTTAAGTTACTTTTCTGCGTAATAGTTTCCCAAATGTGCTTGGAACTACAAAAACAACACCAATAATCTTTATCCCTTATGTGCAATAAACTCAAAGAGTATAATATCTGCGGCTCGTTTCCGGTTCACATCACCTCTTCACCTCAAACAGGCTTACGTTTAGTGGATATAATATTTGAGTATCCATACAATTATGTGATTAACTAGTCGGCATATGGTTTTTGCGCGCCCGCTTTTTTGATGCTGGACCAGGTGTGAAGACGGCGGATTACCGATAATGTCAGCTGCTCATAGTTTGTCTAGCTCGTCGTGGTGCTTATTGAGCAGTAGTGGCAGTGTCAAGTGCAGGTGTTAGTTGCTCGAACACGCTAGTGGAAGGTAAGTAGCTTGAGTAAAGGCTGAGTCAGTCACTGGAAAGGAATTGTGCCTTCTTTTGATTTGCCGTACTGCTTATAGTCTGAAAAAATTAAGCGAACTCTGCCGAAGTTCGTGAAATTCCCATCGTGTCGCCATATCTCGGTTTGCACACGAATTCTGAATTCACTGGAACCAATCAACTCAGTCTCGACACGAGACGATAGAGATTTGGACATAAAGAGGCCCTGGTCGCGGTGGGCTTACGGTAAGTAAGGCGGTCCAAACAGAATTTTTTCGGGAATTGAAGCAGACGCTGTATTTCAGTAATGAAGCATGGCCCCAGCCAGTCTTCCGAGTAATTTTTTGGAGTGGCTTACAAGATTTTTAACGGTTTACATACTTGAAAATTTTAAAGAAAGAGGATTGAGGATGGCCCTCTTGCAAAAGTAAATGTTTTACGGAGCTAAATTAAATTATATAATAAAAAACTTTGGAAATCATTCCATTTACTTACGAAAAGGAGAGCGATCAGTTTTCCGCAGCAGCTAATGTAAGAACGTGCTGTAATTAACATACTTACAAGATATGGATATTTGATCGAAGTGGCGTTCCCATGCAAAATGTATACTGTTTTATAGGGCATGGAACGCTGAGTTCAAATCTATCTTCGGCATCTGCAAAGCGCTTCTGGGATGGGAGTTATGGAAATTTTTTGATGCAAAAATCTGAAAGCGCCGTTAGAATAAAATCATTCGAAAGCTTAGTCCGTGAGTTCAAATGGAGCCATGACTGCTACCCGGACGTTTTATGGAATAAGGCCTTCAATCTAATAAACTCATGTCAGTTATATGTAACTCCTTTCAAGCGCCGAAAACACCTTAACACTTGTTTTAATCTTAGCCAAATCATTGTATTTCTACCTCAAAAATTCGCATAACTCCTCTCCTAGAAACGCTTGCAGATAACGAATGCAGATTTGAAATCAGCGTTCAATACTCTATAAGATATTATACATCTCATATGGAAAACGCCACTCGATCAAGTATCCTTTCCTTGTTAGTAGTGCTAGGTAAGCAGAAGTTTGGAGAGAGGAAAACCGACAGAAAACTTGCTACCTACCGTATAAATACCGTACCCAGACAGCATCGTAAGCAAGAGGATGAACCCCCCCCCCCCTTGGTCGGTGAGACAGCCAGTATGAATGATAACTTGCTCTACCCCAATCAAGATTCCAAATTTATGCTATGGTAAAACTTGTAAATTTAGAAAAAAATGCTAGAAGCTCAGTAGACCTCAACTTTTTGAATTTATTTTTGATATGGCAAAAAATTATCGGTTGAAAAGGACGAATGCGCGGCATATTGACAACCGCAGAAGTACAGTATGCTTATTTGCAGCTATTCTTCACATGTGACATAACCTCACACACCCCCCTTCTTCTACTTCTCCCTCCCCCCCTTGGAAGCTGACAAAAGTTGGATAGTGAATTTTTCGTACGCTTTAGGCTGAGATATGGCGCGACGCAAATTTGGAAGACTTTCGGCCGAGTTCGCGTTATTTTTTCGCGACTGTACTTTAGCTATTTGTTTACAATCCTTTGATGTTTATTCCCGCATCCGTTGTCTGTAGAAGCCTCAGAAGGAAGCGCTGACCCGACGACATCCCGCATTGAAGGCACTTCCGGCCAGTAGAGCGTCGGCAAAGTCTCAGGACGAGTTGTTGGCTTCTATGAGGTCGGTGTCCCTTCGAGTAGACACCGAACTATGTCAGTTCCCCACATTGCGCCCGGCCACCCCCACTTCCGACCTCGTTTATTTGCGATAGCATTAGCAAAACAACGACTTAACTCCATTGTGGGTCCGGATGAGACGCCCTGAGCTACCAGCGGATCAACACTTCGACAAACGTTGAGAATTATCGAGAGAAGAACAAGACTCGGTGACAGAGGTGTGAAGAAATGAACGAAATCCGGTTGAGTGCTGAAAGCAACTGAGACCGGAATTCGTGTGCATATCCATGAATTCGCTTGGAAAACATTGAATTCAGGCAGGATTCAAAGTTTGAAGAATTTTGGAAGATCAAGGTCCAGGGCATAGTGAGTAATTGAACATTCACGGTTCAACCATGTTCTTCAGAGAATAAGTTGATTTTTGACAATTAGAGACCCTATTGCTATGAAAAATTATAGATGAGCAATTTTTTGAAGAAATCTACGGAAGTCGTGGCCACGTTTCGTTTTTCAAACCATTGATTTACAATTATCTCTCAGCCATATTATTTCTAAAATTTTAACAGCTCGGCTTTGTTAATGCCTTCCTTGTATGAAAATCACTCTAACATCTTTGTTCCATCGTCTAACATCCTTTTAATAAATTCGCATTATCCGTAGTACACGATTAAACATAAGTCTTTAACCGCATTTTACTCTTTCGAGACAATCGAGGTTTGCCGCTAATCATATCAAAAGATTATCGAAAAAAGCCGAACGTCCTGAACAATAACGTCATTTTGTCATTCTGACAGAAATCCTTTTGTAGAATTACGGTGTTTAAATTGTTCAACATAGAAAAATAATAAACTCAACAGCTTAACCTTTATTTCTCTGTTACGGTCCATTTCGTTGCAAAAGTAGAATTCGTGCTCAAGCAGCTTCAACACAGAGGAATAGAAGGGTTAAATATTGATTTGACACAAAATTCACAAAGTAAAAAGATTGAAGGAAAGCTCTGATTATGAAAAAAAGGAAGAGAAAAAACCATAAAAGGAAGATATTTTGTTCTAAATATGGCAGGAAACCTAACATTTTTGAAGTACTGCGAAAATGCATTCTACCCAAATGAGTAATTCTTTGAATTTAAGTTTGCTAAAGATTCTGGCTGAAAAGTGAAAAAATGACTTAATATTATTATTATTTTATTTGCTTATTTTGCTCATTTTTCGGATTATTTTGCTCAAAACTCTGCAGAAGAGCAACATTGCAATCGCTGGTTCTTTTGAGTAAAAGATTGAAATCTTAAAACAACAAAAAACCCAATTGAGAGGGTCCGGCTCAGCGAATAAAAAATATCGACTATTGTTATAAAGCAAGAATCCGTATTTGAGTGACTCATAATTCCCAAAATTTCCTTCATCCCCCCCCCAAGCTTTACGATTATTTTTGAGGCTAGACGTGGCCTTACGTGGTACCATTTGCCCTTTTGATGTGATTATGTGCAGTTATCATAGAGATCTAAAGCGAAGACGACGGTATGGCGACAGAGAGTTCATCATCATCTCCGTCATGTTCGCTTCATTGCACTTGCGCAAGGACGCATCCACACCTTGGCTTGCGAGCGATCGGCACCTCTGCGCCAACATACATAGCACCCAGCCGTGCAACTAGCAAACATAACATTTTTCGGGAATTCGTGGCTTTTAGAAGCGAGCTGGGTGGTTTCGAAAGCTGCAAGGGGAGATTTGCACTGTTGAGAGTTGAAATTTGTGATTTTCAAAAAGTTCTTAGCAGCAATGCGCAAGATACTAGTCTTTTGCTACGTTCTATGGTGCGTCCGCCTTACCAGAATTCCTCAAAAGTCCACAGAATAGCGCAATATTTGCCAATACTCAGTGCGATTTTTCCACTCTATTGTACCCTGAAAGGCGATTTGAGGAATAACGAGGACGGCGGTGCGGCGGCCGGGCGGCCGATGATCCGGCCAGTCACTACCGGACCGGGGGCGGAGCTGACTAATCACCGCCGCCTGGGGGCGTGGCCAAGACGGCGGCCGCGCGAAGACGGTAGTCCACTCTTCGGAAATGTCGCTGCCCTATCCTTACTATTTGGCAAATCAGGAACAAATTCGATCCTGTATGACAGCTATGGCTACACCTAGCAGGTAATATTGGAAATCTTGAAGACCTAAGTCATCTCCCGGATGCAATTCTGGCCATTTTCTCAAATTAAAGAGCCATAGAACTTAGGAATTTCTCGCATTAAAAACTGCAGCTTATTCTCTCTACAAATAAATTTTTCTACTTTTTTTACTTTAGCAATTTATCCCATTTTCTAGAGCTAGAGCCTTGAAAGTCAAAAATTTTTGCACCACAAATCGTATCATTTCTCTAAATTCAATTTTGTGAAACATTGACTGTATATCATAGCAAATTGTTTCTTTTTCAGCTCTGGTCTCAACAACAACTTTTCCATTGAGAATATTCTTTCTGCACGTTTATCATTTCCATTACCACATCTATCCATGACTCCTGATATGTTTCATCCGGCCGGTCATTGGCCCATTGCTGCATATCCATTCCTTCGTAAGTTTCTTCATTTCATTAGTTTTCCATACATTCTAATTTGCTAAAAATTCGAGTTATAACATCATTTATACTTATTTATTCATTTGTAATGAAATCAAAAGACCTCAGCTCCATTAAAAAAACAAAAACACTACAGTTTAATTATCCATAAATTTCTACACTCAGCTACTCTGAAAAATCTTTTTCAAGGTAATCAGGTCGCTCTTTAAAATGGTCCTCAAAATCCGAAATCACGAAAAAATTTTGCTTGATGAAAATTGTCAGGACTTAAGGATAGTCATGTCGTTCTAAAATTGCAAGATTGTAAAGGTTTTCACAATCCAATCTTGGTTGGAAAGGGAATAGCTAGGACTGAACTAAACAAAAGAAATCTTTACGTTAAAAAGCATTGGCAGTAAGAAATGCGCGAAGAATTTTTCAGTTTTGCCAAATCTTTGAATACTGTAGCCGGAAAAATGCTTTTCTAGGGGAGTTTAGGTGTGATAATCAAAAAGTTCACTTAACAAAAGTGCGGAAAGTGCGCTTGGAGGAAATTGATTATTTTTGGCGATTCGTCGATACACTACTACTTTGCCCCTTTCCTCGCCGTTCGTGCAAAGATTTTGCGGAAAAATTCGCAAAAACTCAACTATACTACCAAAAATGGATTAGTAAAGTTTACAAGTGATTCTCAGTGGTGTTTGGTGCTAATCCTTCGGTGTTATACTGTAAGAGAGACGCGACGATGCTCACTGGCATCGCCTCTTCACAATGGACGTTGTTTGCCAAAGCGCACAGCGGGCGATACACACCATACGCACACACACACACACTACACGTTCATCGATGTACTCCATTTCCTTAGTGTCTAAGGAGGCGATGAGAGGGGCAAATCGAAGGTTACCCGGATGAAGGAGCGAAGTGGGGGCATTTGGGAAGAGTTTGGGGCTGATCGCGGCATTTGGGGAAGGTTTGGGGGGCAATCGAAGCACTAGTAAACACTTGGGAAACATGGAATTTTTTGATGGAGATCTGACTCCTTCCCGTTGCAGATCATGGGCTTGTGCCAACCCCGATCATGACATCGTTCCTGCCCTCGTTCCATTTTGGTGGCAAACGGAAACGAAGGCATCGAACCATTTTTAGTGAAGAACAATTACAGGTAAAGTCATTTCCAACGCTTTTTGGCTCTTTTCCAAGCCCTTCTGGAAGCTAAAAGTTACTCTCTTTCAGGTATTAGAAGCAACTTTCACCGAAACTCATTATCCAGACGTCTCCCTACGCGAAAAATTAGCCATACAATGTGATCTGAAAGAAGAACGGGTAGAGGTTTGTCCCTTCAATTATTTTCGCTGCTACTTCCGCTTTTCTCCGCATTTTCAAGATCTTCTTCTCTTCTACTTCATATACCACTCTTAAGAAGAAAAAATCTGCAGATTTTTGCTGAAAAACCCTTGCCAATGACCTTGTCTAGCTTCTTTTCGCCAAATCGAAGCGCGTATTACGTTCTTTGCGCATTCTTTGGCATTATCAATTACTGTAACGACAAGAGTAAAATTAACCGATTACAAATGAAACGAATGTAATTTCGGGGCTATCATTGACTTCTTTTCATGTAGGGGATTCAAGAGCAGAAGTGCTCTCAAGCAGTCATTAATTTGAACTTCATCTTCATTCTTCTTCTTGATTATCTGGGGTTGTCTCTCTCTTATTTTTCTTTCGTACCTCCCTTATTTTGCAGGCTAAAATTGATTTTGCCGTGATGATTATATCAACCAACTTTATTAGCTTGTACGATCGGCTAAAAATTGTTTCAAAACTTATCCAGATTTTGGAGTTTTTGTAGTTGCGGTAAAAGTCAGACTCGCGAACATAGAAAAACATGTGACTTATTTCATGGTAGAAAAGTTAGAAAAAATGTAAAAATGCAGTAAGAGAGTAACCCCCAAAAACAAATTAATAACACTGCGAATCAAACTCTAACACCGGAATATCTCTAAAAGGGGTTCGGTGTTACCAGAGCTACTTTTAAGTTTTTTTGCTATAATAATGAATGTTTTGTATTTTTCCAAAGCCAGAAAAGTCTAATTTTGAGTATTTTCGAGTAGTGAGAAGATCACTATCAAAAATCTTACAGCATTTCGAGAAATGAAGAGAAGGATAATCTCGCAGTTTCTCGAACAACTTCTTAGCTGAAAATACTGTAGATCAAAAACTCAAGCACTGGAAGATTAAATTTCTCCTTTCATTGTTGCGACAAACCTCCCTCAAACATTTTTTGTATTTCTTACAATCGCTTCGACTCTTTGTCATCGCATTTGCGCAAATCTCATTGTGTCGTTTGTCAAGATGTGTTCAAAAGAAAAGATCTTTCCATCCACAGCTAATCTTTATCGCTTCTTGTCTCAGTAGCTTCTGCTCGATTTCGGATCTCTTCTAGGTTTGGTTCAAAAATCGTCGCGCAAAAGAACGTAAGCAAAAACGAGAGACGGGCAAAGAGGGTGCGACGAAAATCGCAGCGTCAGACGAGAGCGACTGCGATTTAAGCGATGAAGACGACGCATCGTCGCGACCGTCGAAGCGGGCAAAAATCGAGCCGCCAGAAGCGCCCGAGTCGCGAACGTCGCCGCCACCTCCACCGCCACCTCCGCTGCCAAAGAAGGCATCCACTCCTCAATAGTCGTATGTGCATGTGTGCTGCTCGCGCTATATGTGTGTCTGTGTTTATTTTATCCAAGTCCATGTCATTCGCATATCTAATAAAGAGAGTTTTAGTCGATAACTCTTGCGTTTTCTCATGCAAAACTCAAAAACAACCATCGCAAGTTCGTGCTACAGTATATCCTCCGCACATAAAACTCCCTCTCGCGTCCCGCTACAATCGCTACATAACTGATTAATCTCCTCGACGATAATCCTATGTGATTAAGTGGCACCACCCTGCAAATCGCGTCAAAAGCCGGTCCCCAAGACGTCGCATTGCCGCCCCGTCGCCGCCGCCGCCGCTGCGATTACGGTAGCGCACCCGTTTCGGTCGGCTGTGTAACCGCTGGATTAGCATCAGACGAAACTAGCTTCGATTGTTCGAATTGTTTACCAGAGAAGTTCGATACAACCCGAGCCTAGAGCCGCACTGCAATCACAAAATAACGAAACTTAAAGCCGACTCTCGAAGCGGCTTTTGTTCCTCGGTTGATCAGATGTACGGCAAAGAAAAAACTTACGTAGCTAGACTACTCCAAGCTACCGTAACCTCAGGGTACTTGTGAGGCTATTGTTGTGAGAGCTTGATTGAAATTGATATATGTGAACACAATAGGGATACGATCTTGTGTTTGATTTTGGACACTGTCATTCTCTCTCTCTAGAAAACACTTGGCTTTTTTGAAAAGACGATGATTGCCTAAGTACTTGGCGTCATTTTACTTAGAAAGATGAACAAAGAGTTGAAAGGAGATAGCTTCTTTCATCATTCCATTATTTTGTAAACAATTCCACAACATGTTACAGTACTTATTCCAATAGCTTCATTTTCCAAAGCTATCGAGGTGTTGCCTTCTTGAGTGTTGAGACTGTGACCACAATGTATCATACTGGTGACATTTTTTGACCCTTGAACGCATGACATTATCCAAATCAAAAATGAAGTTCCAAATCTCATTACTAGTGTGTGTCTTTCGCAACCAATGAGGTATTATTCTATTGAGTCGAATTGGTCCATCGTAGCATGTTAAAGTCAAGAAAATAATGTCAAAAAGTGTGAAAGAAAGTCATTTGCATGGATCCGTTAAAATTCTGAGGAATTAACATTTAAGAATCTATACTAGCCTTATTTGAAGGTTCAGTACATAAATGAGAGCTCCCCTATTGTAGTAACAGAGGACTTTATTTTCATGGAAATTGAAATCGTCTATATTCCAAACCATAGACGATTCAAATCCTCTCCTCAGAGTCCGTCAGTCCCTGCTACCTCCAGATTTTTGAGAAATTTTCTCAAAATAGAGAAATACTAGTTGCCTAAGACTTCAAATTCAAGACATAATGCATTCAAATTCAATATCAACTTGAATTTTGTGTCTTACAGATGAATTAATCCATTGACGACGACGCCTAATTTTGCGTGGCGGCGCTGGGACGACGCGATTTTGCACAATACTTTTGGCATGGGAAAGTTTTGTGATGATTTAAGAGATGTAAAGTTGTTTCCTAAACAACTACAATCATCTTCTTGGACGTCGAAGTCCACAGGTTCCAAGGGTGCAAAAACTGGAAGAAATACGGAACTGCGGAAAAAATACTAGACCTGGAAAGCATATGATTTTTGCAAGGGCTGTGGGCCACCGTGGTCCGCATCGTCCATGCCAACAAAAAGTGCGTGGGCCACCGGTGGCCCACATCGTCGTCAATGGGTTAAGGATCGTAGACGTTTGCTTCCAACTTTAAGTTTGAAGTAATTCAAAAAAAACTATAAATGATAGAATCGTGTTCAATATCGATTGTTTGCTACAGCTGCGTCTCCAAAAAACTTTATTGATTTTATTTTATTTAGTAGCCATGACGCCTTTCATCTTAAAATATTTTGATTTTGGACTTGAACAGGTTTCATTGAGAGCTGTTTTTATATGGTTAATTATCTAGTTTTGTCAAATGAATTAAATTTCAAAAATCGGAATTGAACAAAATGATTGGCACAAAATGTGCTTTTTGTGCAGCTTGCGTGTCTTGCTGGAATTGAAGTCCACTTCCCAGAAATCAAACGGCTGTCCATGCGTTATAATTAGCTACTTTATAATCTGCAAAGACGAAATGCTTCGATAATCGTTCGAATCTTATCGTGGGACAGTAGCGACGAAACAGCGAAGGAAGTCGAAGCGCTAAGCCTGTTTGTGTCAAAGTAATCCTGCTTCTTCCCACAGTAACTTGCGCAAACCCGAACGATTTTGGCTAAGTAATCCGGCACTGCCTCAGGCAATCACCTAATTCCTTCTTAGGCAAATACTAGGAATTTCCTAAGATGTGTTCCTGGATTCTGCACATTCGCCACATCGTAATGCAACAAGTAGGGCCGATTTATACATAAGTATATGTCCTTCAGTCCGATTGCAAAGAGGCGGATTTGCGCCAGATCTTGGCATCGCCCCATACGCTTGAGCGCGTACGGTTCACCGTATCGTCGAGCGAATAACTAGAAAACCACTCAATCGCTCAGATTACGATCGTCATGAAATTTTCCAAAGCACACTTTATGACAATTGTACCGGAAAATAGAGCTGTTGATGGGAAATTCTGATTTGAGAGCGATTCGCTGACTTTTTTTGGGACAAAATTAACCATTTATAGGCTAGATTGTTTGATTTCTGACTATAATTTTGAATGACCATTCCACAGTTGGAACTGGAGCACTGATTAGCTATGGCGCAAGTTGACACATATCGAAAATTAGCTTTGATGATGAATTGTCTATTTTCCTTCTGCGATTTTGATGCGCCACTTTATAGTTCCCTGAAGCGCTGATTAGCTATAGAGCAAACTAACATTTTATGACAACTATATGGGAAACTAGAGCTGATGATGAAAATATTCTGTCGCTAGGGTAATCTGCTGGCTACTTCACAGTTCGCTTTGGAGCGCTGATTAGCTGTAGAGCAAGTTCACACGTTGTGACAGTTGTACAGGAAAACAGGCTTCAACTGGGATGCGCAGGGTAATCTGCTTGTTTTTTCAAACAAAATTTCCTTATTGTGCGTGACTGTGGTGGCTGTTGACGGTTTATGAACTCGGCTCCGGAGCGCTGATTAGCCATGGAGCATGTTAAGCCACATTAGTCAAAACACATGTTTGGATTTGCAAAATGTGTTCCTCCTACTTTCATAATCTCTGAATTTATCCTTTTAAACAGATATTCAAGATTATCAGTCCCAAGCAGTATGACAACATCCCAAAAGGGATAAGAACGGGAAGTGGGGGCCAACCACCAGTAAAACTTTTTTTTACAACAAATACTTGAAACACCTTGAAGGACTTTAACAGAAATTCTTTCTTTTTTTTATTTTTCTCTATGGCTTCCAGGGAACGAAAAATTATGTAGATAGGTAGTACCCCCTTCCCTCCCCCGCCCCGGCCCATGCTCTTGACGAAATAGGGCACCCTCTCTATGGATGCGATAATTCAAATCATCGTGATCCCATGATTTGATAAGATTACCGGAGGAATGCTGCAAATGCTACCGTAATCCAAGTCAACGGTTGCGGCGCGGGACCGGTTGATGGGTGGCTGATTATCGGCTTAGCGGGGGTGAATCAATCAATTAGAGTCCACCCGATGATCGAATCAATTCGAGTGCCATCTCTTTCACTTGCATTTCTTTTCTAATGCGATCAGGCCCATTGCCGTTGCTAAAACCACGCTGAGTAACGAGGGAGTTGTTAGTTTTTTGGCTTTACTACTGGTAGGAAACTATTAAGAGCATGATAGCGTGGTCTTGAGTGGGCTCAGGTTACTGTACTTGACAGGTGATCCTCTCGTAATTAGTATTCGCACCTTGAGCAACACGCTGCTTATGTGAGAGCAGATCAAATTTCATCCGTTTCTCACGCCTAGTCCGCGATGAGAAGTTATGGCAGAATAATTTGAATGCCTGTGGGAAAAGTTACACAAATTATACTAGCCCAAAATAAACTGAATTTTGGAGTGAGTAAATAATTGGTAGTACAATTTTCTTCAAGAAGTCAAAACAGTGTTGTTCATTCACTTTAGTAATAAAATTGAGGTTTCTGAAATCGATTAAAATGAAAAGTTGGAGGACACCAATTCTTAAAAAAAACCTTTGAAAAGCTCTCAACTTGAGCTGGATCATGGGTTATCTGACACCAGTAAAGGCGGAAGCTCCGAATGATACTACCCAGACTATGCGGAACTTTCGCAAAGTTGTGCCAAGGTTTTACATGCCAACTGCGCTATGACCTTTTATTTGAGTACTATTTATTAACCAATTCTAATTACCCCGAAGACAATTCCGTAAGAAATTCCAAAGTAGTCAGCTCTTGCGTTTTCTGCCAATTTTTTTTAAATGTTGTGAAGCTAATACTGCTCGGAATTTTCACGCTTGTACGAGTTTATGACCAAGATGATTGTTAAGTTTGCTGTAGAGGTATTTTTTTCATTACAAAAACGATTTTGCGCAAAAATTTCATAGAAATGAACAGTGTAATAGACCTCAACTTTGTAAAATCATAGCTTCAAGTTTTCCTTGACACTCGCGAATGAGAATCTGTTACAAAAAGACCTTAGCATGGATGAGAATAGCAAGGACAAGCAAATCATAAAATTTGATGCCAGAGAAAACTATAAAGAAAATTTTTGTCGACAAAGTCAGATACTATGTCAAAACTTGAAAAGCTTTTGGATACCTCTAACACCCTGAAAACGACGAGATTTTGCACAATCCTTTGACCATCGTACTTGACAGCGCTTCTGTAAACAACTCACCTTTCTGCATATGATAAGTAAGTTTTGCACAATTTCGGTACTTTTCCGTTCTCCAAACCCATTTTATCAAAATGTACCCTTGAAATACGTGCTTTAGCTTAAAATTTTTTTCGTAGTTCCTGTGAGGACTGTCATCCTTCCACGTGTCAGGATAAAAACAAACCGTTTAGACTCAGTTGACGTGATATTTTC